GGCCAAGGCAACAAAGGAGCGGCTCAAGAAGAAGCACATTAAGGTCCTGGAGTGGCCTAGCCAGTCTCCACACCTTCATCTGATTGACAATCTGTGGAGGGAACTGAAAGTTCGAGTTGCCAAACGTCAGCCACCAAACCTTAATGATTTGGAGAGGATCTGCCAAGAGGAGTGGGCCAAAATCCCTCCTGAGATGTGTACGAACCTGGGGGCCAACTCCAGGAAATGTCTGACCTCTGTGATTGCCAACAAGGGATTTGTCACCAAGTACTAAGTCATGTTTTGTGAAGGGGGTCAAATCCTTCTTTCCCTCATGAACATGCAGATCAGTCATCATTTGTTAGACGCATTTCTGCTGAATTTGTTGTTGTATTCTGTCCATGTCCAGGCCCGTCTGAAGTCTGCCACTGAACATCTGAATGATGCAGAGGAGGATTGGTGGAAAGTGTTGTGGTCAGATGAGACCAAAATCCAGCTCTTTGGCATCATGAACATGCAGATCAGTCATCATTTGTTAGACGCATTTCTGCTGAATTTGTTGTTGTATTCTGTCTCTCAGTGTTACACCGAACATTCCATTGTTAGACCGATCATTTCTGTGTGAGGGGCGAACATTCAGCATCAGCCGGGGAGCAAATACACATTTCCTTCACCGTAGATAGATATTATAGATAGATGCGCGCTCTCAGCACAGGAAAATGTTGACCTCGGGGCACATACAGGCATTGGGCGGGAACTAGTTAAAGCTGGACTCCCAGAAAAGTAAATGTTCCCGGAATCATCATGTGTCTCCTGGAATCTCGGAGATCTTTGTGTATTCCTTCCAGATCTGTGCAGCAAGCCAGTGTGAGACGTCCTGGAATAAAGACCGCTCACTGCTGCTCTCTCTCCTTGTGCAGGATGACTGGTCTTGTCTCCGCCCCCTCCTGTAGATTTCTGTAGTGGGTGGAACCTGCTGGGCCCCTCCCACAGCTCTGCTCTCTGCACAGGCTATGTACAGCGCGGTGATGATGTCACGGCTACTTTTACAAGGTAAATATCTGGGTTTGCAAAGGCATTTGGTGCACAGAAAGTGCATTGATATACTTTGGAGCTAAAGAGGAATACATATAATTTATAATAATATAATATATTGACTGTAGTTCAGCTTTAACCTACCAGGATGGTTCAGAAGGAGACCCATGTACAGGAAATTTTGGAAGAATATAATAGTAATTGTACATCTCTGGCCAAAGTCTCAGAAACAACCCCAGACCCCCCCCCCTTCCTTCCCCAGCCCCATCCTTGGACGTATTCTTGTGGGAACGTCTGTTTGGATTCCCCATAGAGGGTCATCACAGGGATGGAAAGTGGAGACTCAGAGAGATGAAGTTACAGTTCAAGGTGGAACAGAAAAGAAATAATGACTCGGAATTGGCTATAAAAGACTCATTTTATTGTTAGAAATTTCCTGCGTCCTCCCGCCGCCGTTCCTCGTCCCGTGCTCCAGAGACGGACGTTCTAGAATCGGCTCATACAAGTCATAAAACACATTGATACATTTTCCAGAGATTCTTCCATTGCATTTCCACCACATTTTCCGACCTTTGTGTTTCACGTCAAACTTGCGAGCGGAAAACGGTAATTCAATTCTCTGGGTGACCTTCAACACACCTGACTGTGCGTCGTTGTACACGGCTCCGCCGAATGGGGCAGCCTGTCCGTTGTTATAAAGAGGAACTCTAGAAAGAACTGTATCAAGTCTCCACAGTCCTCGTACCTGATCTCGTACCGTGACCTGCGTCTTACTAAACTAAATAAAAGGTCGATAGAATGACCCCAGAAACTCTTCAGATTTCCTACTTCGTGAATATAATGTTATACTTATTCAGCTTTGTGGTAAAACTACTATAGGGACCTGGCCTAAAACTGGAGAGTCCCTAAAGGGGAATGGAAGGTGTGTGTAGCGAAGACTCTAGCCTGTCCATGCTTTGATTATGTTACCTGTGCTAGTTAGGGTTAGTCCTAAGTTAATTGATTAATTGACTACTGTTAAGTTGTCTCCAGTGGTCAATGAGAAGATACAGTGTATTGCCTGTGAATATTTGTTAGCCTTGACCAATCACCAAGGGCGTTATTCCATTGATGTGAGCTGTGGGAAGAGGATAAGTCTTTGGAGCAACCTAGAAGGGGCCTTGCCTCCCAGGCTTGGCTTGGTGAGGATGTTGGTGTAGAGGTCTTTGCCTCCTAGGGTTGATGTGGAGAGGATGCCAGTGTAGAGGACTTTGCCTCTTAAGACTAGTGTGGTGATGATGTCAATGTAGAGGTCTTTGCCTCCCAAGGCTGGTGTGGTGATGATGTCAATGTAGAGGTCTGCCTCCTAGGGCTGGTGAGGTGAGGGTGCCAGCATAGAGGTCTTTGCCTACTAGGTTTGGAATAGGAAGGATTATGTCAGTGTAGAAGTCTTTGCCTCCTAGGGCTGAAGTGGCGATGATGTCAATATAGAGGTCTTTGTCTCCTAAGGCTGGTGTGGTGAGGATGCCAGCGTAGAGGTCTTTGCCTTCCAGGTTTAGCATGGAGAGGATGTCAGTGTAGAAGTCTTTGCCTCCTAGGGCTGGTGTGATAAGGATGCCAGTGTGGAGGTCTTTGCCTCTTAGGGCTGGTGTGGTGAGGGTGCCAGTATAGAGGTCTTTGTCTCCTAGGTTTGGTGTAGAGAGGATGTCAGTGTAGAAGCCTTTGCCTCCTAGGGATGATGTGATAAGGATGCCAGTGTAGAGGTCTTTTTCTCCTAGGCTTGGCATGGAGAATATATCAATGAAGAGGTCTTTGCCTCCTAGGGTTGGCGTGGAGAGTATGTCAATGTAGAGGTCTTTGCCACGTAGGGTTGGCGTGGAGAGCATATCAATGTAGAGGTGTTTGCCTCCTAAGGTTGGTGTGGAGAACATGCCAATGTTGATGACTTTGCCTCCAAGGGTTGGCATGGAAAGGATGTTATTGTAGAAGTCCTCATCCCCTAGGGCTGGAGTGGGGAGGATGTCAGTGTAGAGATCTTTACCTCCTAGGCTTGGTATGGTGAGGATGTCAGTGTAGAAGTCTTTGCCTCTTACGACTGGTGTGATAAGGATGCCATTTTAGAGGTCTTTGCCTCCTAGGCTTGGCATTGAGAGGATGTCAGTGTAGAAGTCTGTGCCTCCTATGGCTGGTCTGATAAGGATGCCAGCATAGAGGTCTTTGCCTCCTAGGTTTAGCATTGAGAGGATGTCAATTTAGAAGTCTGTGCCTCCTAAGGCTGGTGTGATAAGGATGCCAGTGTGGAGATCTTGCCTCCTAGGTTTGGCATGGAGAGGATGTCAGTGTAGAAGTCTTTGACTCCTAGGGCTGGTGTGATAAGGATGCCATTGTGGAGATCTTTGTCTCCTAGGGCAGGTGTGGTGAGGGTGCCAGCATAGAGGTCTTTGCCTCCTAGGTTTGGCATGGAGAGGACGTCTGTGTAAAGGTCTTTGCACCTTAGGGCTGCTGTGATAAGGATGCCAGTTTAGAGGTCTTTGCCTCCAAGGCTAGACGTGGAGAGGATGTCAATGTAGAGGTCTTTGCCTCCTAGGCTTGGTGTAGAGAGGATGTCAGTATAGAAATCTTTGCCCCCTAGGGCTGGTGTGATAAGGATGCCAGTGCGGAGATGTTTGCCTCCTAGGGCAGGTGTGGTGAGGGTGCCAGCATAGAGGTCTTTGCCTCCTAGGTTTGGCGTGGAGAGGATGTCTGTGTAGAAGTCTTTGCACCTTAGGGCTGGTGTGATAAGGTTGCCAGTTTAGAGGTCTTTGCCTCCTAGGCTAGACGTGGAGAGGATGTCAATGTAGAGGTCTTTGCCTCCTAGGCTTGGTGTGGAGAGGATGTCAGGATAGAAGTTTTTGCCTCTTAGGGCTGGCGTGGTAAAAATGCCAGTGTTGAGGACTTTGCCTCTTAGGCTTGAGATGGACAGGATGTCAGTGTAGAGGTCTTTGCTCCCTACAATTTGGTGCGAATGCAATGTTGAGGACTTTGCCTCTTAGGGTTGGCATGGTATTGGGAGGAAGCTAAAGTAAAGAAGGGATTTTGTTCTCTGAGAGGACCCAAACTTAAGCCTAGGGAATCTAAACTGGCCTGTGGCATAGGCCCAAGCAATCTAAGCTTGCATGTGGCAGAGGCCTAATAAATAGGAAGATGGTGGCCCACCTGGAACATCTTTAGAGGAGTTTGAAGAATGCCCAGAAGAGCTTGGGGGAAGCTGCTGGATGGAAATTCCATGGAGACCTTACCACTTAAATATTCAAGGTATAAGAGACTGGTTGTATAAGGTCAGAGGAACATAATCCTGTTGGTAGGTGGCTATTATTAGGACCACCAGCAACTGCTATTATTGAGAAGGCTACTTGTACAGAACCATTGCCAGGTTTGCTGTGAATAGATGGCCTAAGGTATACTTGCTGCTTTTTTTGTATCCTGTGCCCTACCTCTTTCTCTACAAGTTATTAAGCAAATGAAAGCTTTAAAACTAAGGCGACTGAAGCCTCTATGCTGCCATTGGTGGATCAGAGCATTGCTGGGTTCCGTAAAGGGAGGGGTCACTGTTAAAAGACAGGACAGCCCATAAAGTTCCAGCAGCTTCCTTGGGGTCATCTCTACACTACAAAATGCTGCTTTTTGACCCGGCTGTAGCACTGCCTGCGGGAATGGTTCAAGCTGTTGGGAGTCTGGAGCACCCAGTGACCCTTAGAGATATCCTGTGAAGAGATATGAGTATAATTGAACAGGAGTTACTCCATATTTTGAGAGTGACGCTAGGCCACCAAGTATAAAACAAGAAGACCACCGAGGGCTGATTCTATATTTAGGCTCTGAACTGTCAACAAGCGATCTGTAGACTTTGAATAAGATATGAGACAGATAGGAATACTAATCACCCCACGTCCGCCGTGTTGTACACTTGGTGAGACGTTGGCGTTACGAGGGGATCAGAGAGAGAGAGTCTGGTACCTTTGCCCCCTCTATGAGTTCTCCTGGCCCTCCTGTGTGTGGCAGTTCTTGGTCTTCTCACACTTGGCCAGGCGGTTCCCTTCCCAGTAGCCCACATCCTGCCCGTCGTGGCAGCGGCACTTGGTGCAGGAGTCCACCCAGATGTACTGCCCCGCCGGGATGACCCGCCTTTGGGTGGCGTCCGCATAGCAGTTCGGACCTGTGGGGGGGTGGGAAAGGAAGACGAGTTCATATCATTTTCATCTCCTGTTCACGAATGACTACACAGCAATTATTACAGATATCAGTGCCTGCCCTCAAGGAGTTACAATCCCACCGGGCCAATAGACCTTCTTTGGAGAAGACCCATGCCTGGACAGGGAGAACATGCAAACTCCATGCAGATAGTGTCCTGGGCAGGATTTGAACTGGTGACCCCGGTGTTTAGCAGCATGACCTGCACAGGTGACCTCCTTGTATGAGTGTTGGGAATGTTTTTTACGTCATCCTCAGGAGACAGAACCCGCCATACATCGTCCGCCATTTTCCTGGGCTGATATGAACTCTGATATGTAGCAATACATAAGAGGCTCATCTAGGTGGGGTACCCCACCCCCAACACAGAAATTCACAGCGCCCCCCTCTGGTTTCCATCTTCTACATTCTGTACAGCAGTTTTGTAAAAAATGCAATTGAAGGAATCAAACTGACTTGTTTCAAGCAAATAGTCCATGTAGGGCTTGTTGAGACATGAGGTTGAGGCGGGCGGTAAAACCCTTTGTTTGGGCTGTACTTTTTACTGCATCCCAACCGCTACCCTCTTCAGTTGCAGTGGCAGTAGGGAAGGGGGCATGCAGCTAGGATGCTTTGCAGCCGCGGCAGGAAATTGCAAGTGCAACTACGCGCAATGCATGTTGCGTCGTGCTAGTGCAGGGATCAAGGGGTTAAAGCAGGGGGTGAGGTAGCAATACAATGCCCTCTGAAGAGTAATCTGAACGTGGATTCCAGTGAAGTCGCATGATTTCAAGTTGCGATTTGCAACTCGCATGGAGTGGCAACTCGCATGGAACAGCAAGTCGCACTTGGTGTGACTGGGCTGTGAATGCAGTGCACCACATTGTCCGCAGCAGTGGGGATGTGTTGCCTGCTACCGTATTAGGGTGTACTTTTCAAAATGAGTGACACCTCATGGTGGAGGGTGGGATGTGTGTTGTCATGTGTTGCCGGGACATTTAGAATGTTTCTTTGTGCAGGCCGAGCCCCCCTCCCGCCACGCCCTGGGTACTTCCCTGCAACACAGACAGTTCTTAGTTCAGACACTAACGGCTGCAGAGTCACTCACCATCTTTGCAGCGAGGACAGCACTCCCCCTTCTCGTAGACGGGGTTCACACATGGTGGGGGGGCGCAGTCGGCCACAAGGCAGCGGGCGATGCCATCGATGTCACAGGTGCACTGCTCACACTCCGAGGGCTGTAACAGATCAAACATAAGTAATGACTCCATGCAGGGAACAGGGAGCAATCTTAGGGCCCGTGTAGAAGGGAAGTCTTAGGGCCCGTGTAGGAGGGAAGTCTTAGGGCCCGTGTAGGAGGGAAGTCTTAGGGTCCGTGTAGGAGGGAAGTCTTAGGGTCCCTGTAGGAGGGAAGTCTTAGGGTCCGTGTAGGAGGGAAGTCTTAGGCCCGTGTAGAAGGGAAGTCCCGTGTAGGAGGGAAGTCTTAGGGCCCGTGTAGGAGGGAAGTCTTAGGGCCCGTGTAGGAGGGAAGTCTTAGGGCCCGTGTAGGAGGGAAGTCTTAGGGCCCGTGTAGGAGGGAAGTCTTAGGGCCCGTGTAGGAGGGAAGTCTTAGGGCCCGTGTAGGAGGGAAGTCTTAGGGCCCGTGTAGGAGGGAAGTCTTAGGGCCGTGTAGGAGGGAAGTCTTAGGGCCCATGTAGAGGGAAGTCTTAGGGTCACGTGTAGGAGGGAAAGTCTTATGGCCCATGTAGGAGGGGAAAGTCTTAGGGCCCATGGTAGACGGAAGGTCTTAGGGCCCATGTAGACAGGAAGTCTTAGGGCCATGTAGATGAAAGTCTTATGACCCATGTAGAAGGGAAGTCTTAGGGCCCATGTAGTGACGGAAAGTCTTAGGGTCCATGGTGACGGAGGAAAGTCTCAGGGCATGTAGGAGGGGTAGTCATAGGACCCATGTAGATGGGAAGTCTTACGACCCATGTAGGAGGAAAGTTTCAGGGTCCATGTAGGAGGAAAGATCTCAGGATTCATATAGGAGGAAAGTTCTTAGGGCCCATGTAGATGGGAAGTCCTACGATCCATGTAGACGGAAAGGCTTGGGTCCTACGTGGACCCTAGGACTTCCCATCTACATCGATCCTAGGACTTCCCGTCTACATGGATTCTAGGACTTCCCGTCTACGTGGACCCTAAGACTTCCCGTCTACGTGGATCCTAAGACTTCCCGTCTACGTGGACCCTAGGACTTCCCGTCTACGTGGACTCTAGGACTTCCCGTTGACGTGGATCCTAGGACTTCCTGTCTGTGGGTCCTAGGATTTCCCATCTACATGGGCCCTGAGACTTTCCGTCTACATGGGTCCTGAGACTGCCCTTCTACATGGTCCCTATGTAGATGGGAAGTCTTAGGGCTCATGTAGACGGGAAGTTTTAGGGCCCATGTAGAAGGGCAGTCTCAAGACTCATGTAGATGGGAAGTCTCAAGGGCCCATGCAGGAGGGAAGTCTTAGGGGCCCATGCAGGAGGGAAGTCTTAGGGGCCCATGCAGGAGGGAAGTCTTAGGGGCCCATGCAGGAGGGAAGTCTTAGAGGCCTATGCAGGAAGGAAGTCTTAGGACCCATGGTGACGGCAAGTCTTAGGGCCCATGTAGGAGGAAAGTCTTAGGGCCCATGGTGATGGAAGGTCATAGGGCCCAGTGAGAGCAACCAATTAGACTTAATGTTTCATCCGCCATATCATTGAAGACTTCTGATTGGTAAATCTAGGTTCAGCTGCTCATAGATTGAAGAAATGTTTGTTTAATCTGATATTACTGAACCAATGCAATGTAGATCGGAGTAGGCAACCATAGAGAGGTGGAGATCTACCTGAATTTCGGCATTGTTTAGCAGATAACCTAGCATGGGCCCATTAGGCCACATTCACCCTTGTGAACACATCTGCACTCTGATTAGTTGTGGGAAGTCCAGCAGAGGTTCTCAGTGTTCAGCGGTGGGAGGCAGACCTAATGAAAGCAATGGGAGGCTGCCAGATCCTGCACCTAATCATAGCCACTCACATGTAATCGGTGTCGGGGCCCATTCACAAGTGTGAATGTGGTCTCAAAAAGTAATCAAGGTGACTTCAGGGGTCAGTTGTAAGTAATACAGAGTTCAAAGGTCAGTAATAATTAATGCAGAGTTTAGAGGTCAGTAGTGTTTCAGAGGTCAGCTGTAAGTGATGTCAAGTTTAGGGTCAGTAGTAAGTACTAGAGAGAGCAGGGGTCAGTAGGGTCAGGGGTAGTAGGTAATGCAGAGTGCAGGGGTAAGTAGTAGGTAATGCAGAGTGCAGGGGTCAGTAGTAGGTAATGCAGAGTCAGTAGTAAATGCAGAGTGCAGCGGTCAGTAGTAGTAGTAATGCAGAGTGGGGTCAGGGGTAATAGTGCAGGGGTCTGTAGTAGGTAATGCAGAGTGCAGGGGTCGTATACTATATGTAATGCATAGAGTGCAGGGATCAGTAGTGATGTAATGCAGAGGTAGGGGTCAGTATACTGTATGTAATGCAGAGTGCAGGGATTAGTATACTGTATGTAATGCAGTGTGCAGGGATCAGTATACTGTATGTAATGCAGTGTGAAGGATTAGTATAGTGTGATGTAATGCAGTGTGAAGGGGTTAGTATACTGTATGTAATGCAGAGTGCAGGGATCAATAGTATATAAGAAGAGTGCAGGGGTCAGCATATGGAATGCATTGTGCAGAGATCAGTATAGTATGTAATGCAGTGTGCAGGGGTCAGAAGTATGTAGCATAGAGTGCAGGGATCAATAGTATATAATGCAGAGTGCAGGGGTTAGAAGGATGCAGCATAGAATGCAGGGATCAATGGTATGTAATGCAGAGTGCAGGGGTTAGTATACTATATGTAATGCAGTGTGACAGGGATTAGTATACTGTATGTAATGCAGTGTGCATGGGTTAGTATACTGTATGTAATGCAGTGTGAAGGAGTCAGAAGTATGTAGCATAGAGTGCAGGGATCAATAGTATATAATGAAGAGTGCAGGGGTCAGCAGTATGGAATGCATTGTGCAGAGATCAGTATACCATATGTAATGCAGAGTGCAGGGGTCAGCAGTATGGAATGCATTGTGCAGAGATCAGTATACCATATGTAATGCAGAGTGCAGGGGTCAGAAGTTTGAATTGTATGTTATGATGTGGCAGATCCTACGCAGATATCCCTCAATAGGATTGATCGGCCAAGAATAGATCTCCATCCTTCACTCTCATGAACTGTTTGACATCCGTCATTCTGCAATTTTCTTTCTACATAAAAATAAACCCCGTATTGTGCACGCCTGTCATTACCTAACTGCATTGGACAAAAACCTTCCCCCGTCCCACCCATGAGCAGCCGTTCTGCATTCTCGAAGATTAACCGGATGTGATCAGTAAGTGAAGTGAGCCTTCCACAGATCTCAGTGCATGGTGTCAGAACAGAAGTGGCCACCCAGAGGCGCCATTTTCTCACAGCAAGATTGTACTGACAGGATTGGGACCACCATTCCAGTCTCACCAAACGGAGATATGACCCCCCCCCCCCCCATCTATCCGTATCTAACATCTGAGAATTACCTTCCAGTGATGTTAAAGCTGAACTCTGGGGAAAGAGCAATTGCTCCCATGCAGTGGGGCTAACACCCCCCCCCCCATACTGCAAGGGGTTAAATGCTCATTTTGGTCTAGGGGACCCGTGAAAAGTGATTTCACTTACCCGAGCCCCCCCCCCCCCCAGCAAGACTGGCCCCTGCACCCTCTTCCAGCAGTTGCAGGTTCTCATATGCCATCAAGCCCAATGCGGGGCCCATAGCCTTCATTGGGCACAAGGAACAGGCAGGGGGTTGGGGAGTAGGAGGGAGCGCCACCTGCATAAAAAGTGGAGTAACTAAAGAAGACTGCTTTCAGGCCCCCCCCTCATACTCTAAGGAACATTTAACCCTTGTAGTGCAGGGTTAGCCCAAATGCAATGGAGGATTTTTCCTTTTCCTGGAGAAAACTTCTTTTTGCTTTGGATAGAGTAAGAAAGGGTTAAGGGCCCCATAACCACTTGTGAGGGGGGCCCTGTGCAATCACATGGGGGGGGGAGGTTCCCGGCAATTAGCTGCTGGAGGAAGCTGCATTGAAAGCAGAGGGAGGCTGGCAGCTCCCGCAGCTGATCGCAGCCAGGCGCATGGAATTGCACAAGGAGCGATTTCCTGCGAATGACCGGCACTGGACGCGGGGGTCTTCCTCCCGCAGCTAGTCACCTGGAACCCACACTGGGGTCCTCACATGTCATCGGCGGTGGCCCCGGGAACCAGAGAAAAATAAAAGCTCCAAAACTGTAAGAAGTGCAACAGTTGTATCAATATTTCCAGCCATTCCTTCCCTGCAATCTCCTGATTGGTCTGTAGGTGGCGATATCAGCAAAGAGCTTTTCATGGCTGCAGATTACTGCGACCAAAGTGGAAGTTGCTGGAAAAGTTTCCCAATGAGAAGATTGTAGAAGAGCAGTCTCCTGTAAATGTGTCCGCAGTCTCTGACCCTGTCTCCTGTAATGTGTCCGCAGTCTCTGACCGTCTCCTGTAATGTGTCCGCAGTCTCTGGTCATCTCCTGTAATGTGTCCGCAGTCTCTGACCGTCTCCTGTACTGTGTCCGCAGTCTCTGTAATGTCATCTCCTGTACTGTGTCCGCAGTCTCTGGTCATCTCCTGTAATGTGTCCGCAGTCTCTGACCGTCTCCTGTACTGTGTCCGCAGTCTCTGACCGTCTCCTGTAATGTGTCCGCAGTCTCTGACCGTCTCCTGTAATGTGTCCGCAGTCTCTGGTCGTCTCCTGTACTGTGTCCAGTCACCGTCTCTGACCGTCTCCTGTACTGTGTCCGCAGTCTCCTGACCGTCTCTCCTGTACAGTGGCCGCAGTCTCTGACCCGTCTCCTGTAACGTGTCCGCAGTCTCTGACCGTCTCCTGTAACGTGTCCGCAGTCTCTGACCGTCTCCTGTACTGTGTCCGCTGTCTTTGGTCGTCTCCTGTACTGTGTCCGCAGTCTCTGACGTCTCTCTGTAATGTGTCCACAGTCTCTGGTCCGTCCCCCTGTAATGTGTCCGCAGTCTCTGACCGTCTCCTGTACTGTGTCCGCTGTCTCTGGTCGTCTCCTGTACTGTGTCCGCAGTCTCTGACCGTCTCCTGTACTGTGTCCGCTGTCTCTGGTCGTCTCCTGTACT